GGCCAGAAGAACAAGGTAGCACAACAGTGAACTCCTTTGCTCCTCTACGGAAACAGACAGAGGACACATTCCATCAGAAATCACAAGAAGAATATCCACAGATACAAGCCAACCGTGCTGCTAAGGAACAAGAATGTGAGCTGAGGAAACCAGAGCGAGAAGAAAGAAGCTCGTGACGTGACAAAAAGAAGAAAATGGAAGTGCTCAAATATTCCGTAGAAAGGCTAAAAGGGTTACCCAACTTTGAGTTTACAAATGGCTTACCTTCAAAAAATACAAGCAAGAAATTAACTCATATATCCTCAATCAAAGGTTAGCGCCTCTGCGTCCATCTGTCTATCACATTTTCTGAATGCCCAAGGGGACTTCAGAGAGTTCACGGGGAAGCTCCAGGGTCTCTTCAGTCCATTTCCCACAAACTTTTAAAGGATTTCTTGTGTAATGTGCCTCTTAACCACCAGTGAACTATACGAACACAAACCGTTGCTAAGTTATACTACGTGTAAGATGTAAATACTTTTATTTTGTAAAAGAAAAATTCCTCTCTATAGTCTACATTATAGGGCTTGTTTTAATTTATTTCTAAAGGAAAATGGAGTGAAGAACTGAAAGCACCTTCTCTTTGGGAGACAGGCTCAAACATCATGCTGTCCTAATACGCGAAGTCTGTACAAAATGTTTTAGAAAGAAAGGAGCCGCTTTCAGGGATGCATTTTAATGCCATGTTTCAATTTCGTAATCAGCAATTATGGTCTGCAATTCATCTTAACAATGGAGACAAATAGTCCCCCCTGGACTTTTAGTTTAAATTAAGTACATTTTTCTGGGAGATGGACTTTATAGAAATGTCAAGGCTGAGATTTTATTCAGGGCATGTGAGTGCTGAAACTACCTTCTGCCCCACTATATAAGGATATATATAGCCTTCAAGAGCAGGCTTGGGTTTAAGGACTCAGTCTAAATATTTGTAAACATTTCCTTAAATGAAACCACATACTTGGTTGATCTAAAATCTTTCAAATGGTGATGTAAACCAATAGTGTTGCAGCAGAAATTAAGCTTTCCAGATCTGTGCCACTGTCTACTTTCAAGAACACTGTCACTGAAATACCGACCCTGCTGTTGCCCCTGTGAACTAAGGCAAGCTACTGGGAAGCTCCTTCTGCTTCTTCCTCGGCAATCGTTGAAAAACAAATGAATGCTGGCAATAATCATTGCAAGCAAAAGGTTTGTAATAATAGTCATTTAAAAGTCATAATTGCATAATAAAATATTACAAATGGCAAAAAGAAATAACATAAGTGTCTCAAATAATATGGTTAATAATCTTAAATTTAAATGGTTAGCACTTTTCACACAATAAAAAGAAAATATCCAAGACCATATGAAACCATTATTAAAAATGGATCTTATACCAGTGTACATGTTCTGGTCTAGCAGGATTTGTAAGGTGGAATTGGGGTCATGATAGTGGCGTGTGGGGGGGGGGAAGCATTAAAGAACTAGAGGAATGTTGTCTGCTTAGTCGGTGCTGTTCTGAAACCCTGGATATACACTGATACAGATAAGAGGTCTTGACACACGGAATCCAGGACAGATAACTCCCTCAGGTACAATAATGGGAGTAGCGGTATCATGAGTGTAGGGGGAAGGTGGGGGAGAATAGGGGAACCTATCACAATGATTGACATAAAACCACCACCACCACCCCTCCACCCTCCCACCCCCCAGGGGGACAAACAACAGAAACGAAGGGAGGCAGTGGTCAGTGTAAGATATGAAAATAATAATAACTTATAAATTATTAAAGGTTCATGAGGGAGGAGGGGGGAGGAAAAAAATATGAGGAGCTGATACCAAGGGCTCAAGTAGAAAGAAAATGTTTTGAGAAGGATGATGGCAACATATGTACAAATATGCTTGACACAGTGGAAGTATGG